TTGTGCCTTGTTGATATTTTTATATGAATTATGAAGCATCGTTTGATATCTGGCATTTCCCCTTATGATCCTCTGTTACTTTTTATGAGTACTTGCCCCCTAACTTCAAAAGCAGTTCATCACCTTCCTGCAGACACTTATTAATAACTGATTTGGAACTGTCAGGTATTCCTGGGCCTGTTTTATGCGAGTTTCTCTTCAAAAACAGTCAAAAAGTGGCCATAATGCGTGCAGACCTCGAACCGCCTCTGCTGGCATGTGAAGGATCTCTCTCATCACGTGGTGCTTCTGTTGCTGTTGTGTGTAGGCTTGTTTCATAGGTTTAACGACCAAAAGAAAAACTGACGTTAAGAGAGTGATTAAATCTGGGCTGTCCTGAGCTGAGCCGTCGCAGTTGTTTCATCCTAAATTGCCTGGAAATTATCAGATGCTGGGGAAAAATATTTTTTTTGCATTTAACCCGTGCTGGAGCCGTGTGATTTTGACTTCAGCACTGGGGAGAGCGGGCTGGAGCCCCGACGGCCGGCCTCGGCCTCGCTGGGGCAGGCGTCTGTCCGTCCTTCCCGGCGTCTGTCCGTCCTTCCCGGCGTCTGTCCGTCCTTCCCAGCAGCGCCACATCCGCCTCGCTGCTCTCGTTCGGCGGGGAGGAAGAACGCTGCTTTGTGTGATGGTTCAGAAGGGAAAGAATTGGCATGGGGATAGATAATGTGAGTTGCCATTCCTTAACATTAGAGATTCCACTAAAGTACTAATAATTACTGTTAATATCTTTCAGTGGAAACTTTCAGCGTAAACGAGCACTGGTTGAAGCAGTATTTAACGGCGTGCTGCTGGCATGATAAGAATGCAAATAAGCGTTATTAGCCTAATGATTTTGCTGTCACCATGGCTGTGCAGCAGTAGTGTTGTGAATATGTCATGCAGTACCCGTGAATTTGGAAAGTGTGTCAAAACACAACTTCAATTAGTTTGCTCTAATTATGGCTCTAGAGAGTTCATAACTATATCACTCCTCATTAAAAGAGATTTTCTTATATGGATTAATATAGCACATAAAGGGATGTTTGAGCAATCCGAGGCAGCGCTGTGCGGAGGGAGGATGCCCACGGCGGGGCGGGGGGGGGGCGCGGGGTCCGTCCCCATCCCCGTCCCGTCAGCTCCCGGGGCGGGGCAGGGCGGGGCAGGGCGGGGCAGGGCGGGGTGGGGCAGGGCGGGGCAGGGTGGGGGCTGGGAGGCGGCTGGGAGGCGGCTGGGCCGGGGCGGCCGGTGGCAGCGGCTCCCGTGCCCCTCGGCACGTGGACCTGGCGGATGAATCTGCACAGGGCATTCAGTCGTAAAAAAAAAAAAAAAAAAAAAAAATCAAACCAACCTACCCAAACCAAACCCACGGAAACACAAAAGCGCCAGTAGGAGCCCCACGTGATGCTGAAATGGGAATCGGGCCTGAAAGCTTTGCTCTGCCGGGGGTCGAGGGGGGGGGGCGGGCAGGAGCCCGTGTCAGTCTGGCAGCGCCGCAGGGCACCGCAGGGCGCCAAGTGGCCGTGTACCTCTCCCAGGATATTTTTCGTGTCTTTTAAATGCTGTCTTTTCATATCACCTGAGCACGTTCTTGCTTTGCAGAACAGGGAGAAGATTCTTGTGCTCACAGGTGAGCGGTTGGTGAAGGGTTAAAGTAGTAATTGTTTAAATCTTTTAGGCTTTCCTCCCAGTTCTGTGATAATTTGATGAAGAACTTCACCCTAATTAAATATTCAAATTAGAAATAAGTGTCAATATGGCTTCCCATTGCCTGGAATGATGATTAATTGTATTCAAAACTCTAGTGGCCGCTGTAATCTAAACCAAACCGTTGTTCTTGATTATTTCTGCAACACATTTACCATGTTTTTGTTTTAAAATTTAAACTAGTAATTGATTTGCCATATGCCGCAGAGCTGCACATACTTTCACGATATGTGTTTAGGAACTTGGGGACTTTGTAATTGGGATTTTCTTGCTTTTCAATGGCAGCCTCTTTTTTTTTTGTCTTCTACAATGCAAAATGATTTGGCTTTCACAACGCATAAGGAAAATGCATTATGCAATCAACTTAGTAGGTATAAGTTATATTGATCCTGGCCGAAGTTTGCATTAATTTAAAATAAATTAGACTTTGTTTCCCATTTTTCCGTACAATGTCATACTTTCAAGAAAGGGAAGGGGGAAGGGGAGAGCTGATCTCCTTCGAGCAGTTGCTGCCCTCCGTCTTGAGGCTAAACGTCCTCCTTGGCGAGACCCAGCTCTCCGGGGCGCCGCGTGGTGGGGGCGACGAGATGCCCGTTTGTCCTAGCCCAGAGACGGCGAGTGGCCGGGGAGGGGGGCGCGGGCCGTCGCTTCCCAGCGCCCTCGTGGCAGCCCGAGCTCCAGCCCCCCGGGGCTGGCGGGGGGCGCGGGTGCCCCGGCCCGCCGGGAGCGGGGCTCAAGCCGCGCACCCCCCGCCTCGCCTCTGACTGCCCCCGCCGCGAGGGGATGCCCCGGTGTGCCTTTCGCTGCCCGCGGGTCTGAAATGGGGAGCGAGCGGGATACCCCGCGGGGCTCGGGGCACGTCGTCTGCTGCCGCCGCGCGCGTGCTCGGAGTCCCTCGGGCGGCGGGCGATTCATTTCAATTACGCGCGTGGAACGCGTGCGCCGCCTCGGCATGTGGCGCCCGTGCGACCCGGTGCTCGCGTGCGCCGCCAGCCAGGCACGCTGCTGGGACTGGGGGCTTGGTGCGGAAAGCCTTTCGCGGACCGAGGGCCCGGGGCGTTCCGGGGGGGCTGCTGCGTGTGCTGGCGGCGCCGGCAGCTCCGTCGTGGTGCTTGCGCCGTGCCCGGCAGGAGCCAGCGCCGGGGCCGGCTCCAGTCCCCTGCCCAAAGGGACACTCGTGGGCTGGGGGAAAGAGCTGTCCGGAGGGGAGAGCGGGGGCCAGCCTCTCCTGCAGCAGAAGCTGGTAGAAACTTTTGAAATACTCGGCTCAGGAATGGGCCTTTTAAGTAGGTCTGCTTTGTTTACTTCCAAAGCAATTCCTGCTCTTTTGTTTGGGGTGAGGAAAGCAGTCCTCCGTACAAGGAAGAGAAATTCAAAAGTCCTTCTGTTAGCTGTTTTGGTGCCTCGGAAATTATTTTTGGATACTGCTATTAAAAAACAAATGAAAAGCGTGTAATGCCTACAGGCAGTGGTCTTCTGTTTTAAAGTGTGTTCATGACAAACCTGCCTCTGCTCACAAAGAGTCTCATATGGATTGTGTTTTAAACAGCAAACTGTTGGCCAAATTCAAAAATATTTTCACACCATCTTTTTTTGGTTAGAAATAGCTTTGGGAAGCATAAGCAAACTCAAACTGATGTTTGCTTTTTCTTATTTTATCCATGCTGTTCACCATCAGCTGCATCTAGGGCTAAAAATACATACGTCTTCACAAAATGGGTCCTGTTTTTCAATGCAGATAATTTCCAGATGATTTACTCGATAGCTAAAACCTGCTAGCTAAGAACGTGGATTTGCTGCTCTGCTGGAGAGTGTCCGGGGCCCTTTCTCGCGGATACGGTGTTTGTGAGGGGGCACAAAGGCCGCCTGGTTGCTCTGGCAGGAGGGCGATGCCGGGGGCCTCGGTGTGCCCAGTAACTCACTCCTGTGAATTGGGACCTGCTGCCTCTGCCTCATGCTACCCTGCGCCTCTGTGTGGAGAGGGAGCAGTTTCATTATGTGTGGCAAAGCGGTCCAGAAGATTAATTGTAACGTTCTATAAAAATTCACCCAGACCTGGGATCAGCATTAGAAAAACACAGATTTGAATTAAAAGGGAAAAGGCTGAATCTCTTGTCAAGGCATGGAAATCTGTGGGCTGTCCATCACGGTTACTAGCAGAAAAGCTTTTCTCGCGGCAGAGCTCGGCGGAGCCCCGTGGCCGGGCCGGGCTCAGCGTGGCGGCAGCGGCAGAGCCGTGCCCCGGCGCTCCGGGGCTGTTGGTGCCCTGCCCCGAGGGCCCGAGCCTGGGGGGAGCAGCTCGGGCTCCAGCACCTCTGACACTTGGCGTGCAGCCCCGCCGCCGGCCCGAGGGCCTGACGAGGGCCGGGCGGTGCGTGTCCCCCCCCCGCTCCGCGTGGTCCTGGGCAGGTCGCCCACCTCGTCTTCCAGCCTGTGTCCAGGCTTGCTGAGTGCTGGGTTTTCCTTTTAGTAAGCTCTGAGCTACTGAAAATAGTTTCAACTTCGCTTCGATGAGCTCTGTTTTTTCCTATTTATAGGAAGGTTTAATGGGAGATGTAAAAATGCCTCTCTGCTGCAGGGACGTGGGGCAGAGCGCCGTTGGGAGGGAGGGCGTTGCACTCGGTGACGAGTGACGTTTGGCTCCCCTTTTCCGGGGGGCTGGCGCAGGGATGCTCAGCGTGTGCGTCACCCCCAGCCTCGGGGAGCGTGCGGCAGCTCTGGGTGGGTTCGGGGCAGGCCTCAAACATCAGGAGAGTTTCAGAGGTCTTATCGCTGAATGCACTCAGAAGGTTTCGGTACGGATGGATCCGAGGCAGTTGCAGCTGGCGCTTTCTGCCTCGCCGGAGGTGCGGTTCAGTCCCGCAGGGCGTTGGGGGGCCCTCGCGGTGCCTTACGGTGAGACGTGCTTGCAGAGAGGGTCGGTGCTCGCCGGGCAGCGCGCAGGCTGTGGCCGGGTGCTGGCTGCCGGGGAGCCGCCGTGTCCTGCCGGAGGGTTGGCGGCCGAGCCCCGAGGGCAGCAGGGCAGAGGGGCCTGCGCCGGGGCGAGTGAGACTGAGGGGCAGGTGAAGCAGCTGAACCACCCCTGGTTGTAATGGCTGGATCACCACCTCGGTCTCCTCCCGATATTTGGGGCCCATTCCAGCTTTTACAGGCAACGTTAAAACTGATGTTTGCTGCTTAACCTGACCAGCCTCAGCAGGCGAAAGGGAGCCGACGGCAGTGATCCCTACCGCTCTGTAGTAACGTCATCTCCCTTCCCCATCTCTCTTCCTTAGGCATATCTCGCTGACACTCCCTGCCAGCTTTCGAGGGAAAAGTCACAGCACTCGCCTGGATTTGGAGCACCAGCACTCAAATTTGTATGCCATATCAGGTAAGCTGGCACACGCGATGGCTTCTCTGCTCTTTTGTGCAATCAGAAGGGTAACCAAGCAAAGCAGCCCTGCTTGCGCGCACAGCCAGGTGTGTGGTACCCACGAAACATACGTCTGGCTTTTCCTTGGTGCCGTTTAAGTGTCGAGCAGAAGGGGTGCAGAGGGACCCCGGGGAATGCCCAGGCACACGTGTTGCCGGCAGCAAACCTGACTGATCACTGGGGAGAGCACAGCCCTCGGAGCGGGAGATGCTGCTGCCTGCAGAGGTGCTGGTTGAGAGCTCTGATGGAAAGCAACACTGGCACAAAATTTGCTCCTCATCTTTTTCATGATCGTCACAGGTGAGTGATAAGAGGCAACATCTCTGCCCATTTCACAGGAAGCTTTGTCTTGTGTTCAGGCAAATTTGAAATAAGATGTTAGGATTGGGGGGGTTCCGTGTTATTTTTAAGCAGCATGCGCTTGCACATGCACACTTGGTCTCTCTAGCTGCAGCTTTCTCTCTCTTCACTATTCCAGGCTAGTATACGAGTGCTAGGGCTAGCGATAGTTTCCAGATGTCAGTGTGGAAAAAAACCTGCCAATGAACAATTTAGCTAGTTTTTATTTTTAACTGGTACTAGGCTGCGGGGAAAATGTGTATTTAAATAGAGTGGTGAGGATGGATCCCGTTCCTCCAGCCGTGCAGGCACAGGCACTTGTTGCTGTGCTTCAGGGCCACGTGGTGGGTTCGGTTTGGAGCCGGGGGCCCTGCGAGCTGTCCCTGGCAGGGCTGCTCCTCTGGAGGAGCTCCTGCCTTTAAGCACTTGGTTTCTTGAAGGAGTGAGCTGAGAAGGAAGGTAGCCTGCTTCTTGGGCCCCGGGAGGAAATGCCCCTGGGAGTGAGAGGCAGGGGTGCTTTACAGAGTTGCACCTCATGGAGTCTGCCACTCCTGGATGCGCCGAGAGCTGCGAGGTCTGGAAGCTGTTCCTGAGCCACAGCAAAAGGACTCTTGGTTCTGCAAACTAAAGAAAAACGTTCGGGGCAGCTGTGACACAGCAGTGCGTTTCACCTGCCTCCTCTCTCACGGGGCTCGCTCATGTCCTGTGCTTCACCTGAGCAGTGCTGGGGTGCAAGCGAGTTTTCCTCAGAATTATTTTTTTTGGAGTAATGCTGCACCTGAACAAATATTGTGATAGGCATGGTAGAATCACACTTAGCCACGGTTTACCCTTTGTTATGTCATTTTTACAAGAGGAGAACAGTACTGGCTTTAAACCTGGCTCTGTCAGAACGTAATGGAAGTACAGTCCCTTCATCTGGCTGAAGGCGATTTTCAGGACGGTTTAGAGACCCAGAAGAAGCAGCGGTGGGTTCAGTGAGCTGCACAATAGGGAGTGCTTGTGCATAATCAGGGAAGAGAAGATGGCAAAAATGTGCCATTCACAGGTTCTTGCTATTAATAGTGAGTGACAATTCTAACGTGGGAACATGGCATTAATTCATGTACCATAATCAAAGGGTTATTTAAAAGGTAATCTCTGGCTGAAACTGCAGCTTCAGGTTCCTAAATAGATGGAATATAACAATTGCATAATTCTTGTCAGTACTCGTTTTTCGTGTTACTCTCCTGCCCTAATAGATTTAGAAATGTAAGGGAAGGTGTGTTCCTGTGCTCACATGAGAGGCGGCCCTGCATGGAGGACAGAAAGCTGCGCTTTCTCTCCTGAGGAAGCATCAAATGCACAAATAGCGAGGCAGCAGCTCTGCGTGAATATTCCTGAGAATGGCCCTGCTCTAGGCCTTCCCATGGGCTGGCTCTGCTTGCAGTGCAGCCTGGAAAGATGACCTATTTTGTGAAGAACCTGAATGCTTTACCAGCTAATTACAGGCAAAGAACAAAACAGGACTGCGAAGCTGGGCATAGCGTTAGTCCTCCACGTTTGCACGAGCACATTTCAGTCAAAGGATGTAACTTTTTTTTTCCCCCCAACTGCACGTTCTCCTCCAGACATGTTGTTATACAAGTTGTGCATACATGCGCTGTAATGGCTATTGCAGCTGTGGGTTGTTTCTGAAGAAAGGGTCTTGTCATAAGAAACATCCTGTGCATTGGCAGGGATCTTCATGCATAACTCCTGACCGCTGCTGCCTTTTCAGCAGCTGTGATGAGGTGCTGTGACAATTCCCTTTGCGTGCTTAAACATTGCCGAGGTAGATTAGCCCCCAGGCGCACTGTGGAAACCATTCCGAAGTTTCCTGTGACGTCGGTGGAGTTTGCAGCCAGTCCATTTCATCTGCGCTGCCGTGCGAGTGCCTCGCTGCGGTGCCATGGCAACGGGAAATTTATTAACGTGCTTCCACTGTCGTCCCTAATTGCTCTGCCGGGATGTGGTGTGCCGCGGCGGGGTCCCGGCCGCAGCGTGCCGGGGCAGCCGTGGGCAGGGGACAGCTGTGGGCGTGGGGCAGCTGTGGGGCAGGGGGCAGCCGTGGGCGTGGGGCAGCTGTGGGCAGGGGGCAGTCGTGGGCGTGGGGCGGCGGGGGGCAGGTGTGGGCAGGGGGCAGCCCTGGGCATGGGGCAGCCCTGGGCAGGGGGCAGCCCTGGGCATGGGGCAGCCCTGGGGGGGGGGCAGCCCTGGGCGGGGGGCAGCCATGGGCATGGGGCAGCCCTGGGCAGGGGGCAGCCATGAGTGTGGGGCAGGTGTGGGCAGGGGGCAGCCATGAGCATGGGGCAGCCGTGGGCGGGGGGCAGCCGTGGGCGGGGGGCAGCCCTGGGCACGGGGCAGCCCTGGCAGCAGGCGGCCGGCGCGGTGGCCGGGGCTCCGGCGGGTGCAGGACCCTCCTCTGCCCCCCGCCAGGCCTGTGGGCTCCCTCTCTTGGCTCTCGGCAACATGGAAGGTTTCCTGGTGCTGGCGCAGGGAGACAAAAGCCTCTGTGAACAGTCTCCCAGTTCTGGTGTCGCCTCGGTCTGAATTCTGGTGGGGACAGGGTGGGGTATTTAGGAAAGGAGGATGAAATCAAGAGTTGCAGCGTGGTGTCGGTTCCCCGTCTGCGCGTTATCCCAACAGAAGTGCTCTTTCACCCGGCATACAAGCCAATACACACAGGGTCAAGGTATTTCTTTTATTTCATGTCTGTGCGGAGATGAGTGCTGGGTGGTAACGCCACAAAGCTAGCACACTGAGGGGGCTTTCCACGCTGTATTTATACACAAAACTTGCCGCGTTTGTAGTTTTCGAAGTCCATCCTCTCTACGATGATTGGTTAGTAGTTTCCATGCACTCATAACACTGCTGACACAATACTTGTACTCCTGTACGTGCTCAGGGGAAGGGTCTTCACGTGGGCAAGGGTCTTCTTGACCCATAGGTGTGATTTTTAGTATTACAATGAAGGTAGTTCAGCGAAGGCTACACAGACCTTGAGTTTGCTTGCCGAGTTGGCAGTGCACCTCTCCAAGGTCTAATTGCTCCGGGGCGTCCTTGCTCTAACAACATTACCTACTCGTTCTGCTGCTTAGCGATGCCTTTGGCTTTAACATCTACAAAGAGCATCTTTCTTGACCTAAGCCTAATACTGCTACATTGATCTAAAAGTTTTAACCTTCCACATGTGGACACCCAGTATTTTCTCAGTAGTCAATGAAAACAACACTTCCAGCTGGGGTTCAACCTATTTATGGAAGGTGAAACAAATTTTGGCCGCCGAGCCTGCTCTGTATCTCAGAATACGTTTTGGCAGAAATTGCCGTACCCCCGCTGGAACTGTCCTTTTACTCCTTGGGGTGCGTAGCGCAATTATTATCACAAAGCTGGAGTCAAGGAAAAAGTGGTCCTGGAAGTAGTAATTATATTTTTTAGCCAGCCTTTTGGTGTTTCTAGTCTTGGCAGTGAAACGTCGGGTGACCAGAAAGTTAGGGAGACTCCTCGGTGCACAGCAGACTAAAGAATCAGTCTGTGAGAGGGCGCACGTAGGGACCTGCTGCCCGGACGTCGCCGCGGGAGCCTGCCCCGCGCCGCTGGCATCGTCCTCCCCGCCCGGCAGACCCCCTGGTCCCACCCGGGACCAAAAGGCAGAGTTATTTCTGAGTTGATGTGAAAAAGGTCTCTGGGTGCTGCTGGGAGCGCGGTGCTGAGGAGCTGACAGGTTTAATATGCATGTTCAAACGGGCAGCTGCTGGAAGAAGAATGCCTTGCTCCAGACAGACCTGTCGACAGACACTGCTCAGTATTTCACAGCGTAGTCTTTCTTCATGGCCTTCAGCTTAATTAAGATGTTGTTGTGACTACATACTGCCTTCATTTCAGACTTCAGCATCTTCTGGCTGCATATTGCTTTGGCTTATCAGAGCCACAAGGACAGTGAGGGAGAGAGGGAGCCCTCTCAGGCAGCCACAGATAATAACGTACAGGGAAAATTCCTGAATGAAGTGAAAAATTATTTATAATAATGGTACTCAAATAGAAGGGAAATAAGTCACTCTAAGGGTATATAAATTTTTATGATAGTGTATAAACAGCCATAGCTTGCCTTGTCTCCCATCTATCCCTGCAGAGAATGAGGGCAACATCTAGCATAAAGAAAAATATAATAAGAAAACGAAGAAATGAATGGGAAGAGCTGGAGGATTGATCACTCGGTGTATTTGTATATCCTGATGTAAAAGGTGCTGCTGACAGGTGGCCAGGTTTGTTCTGTATAAAACCATGTGTGTGCTGTCAGGGCGGTGTGAGCAGCCTTGTTTCGATTGATGAATTGCCTGCTTTCTTGATTAAACCTTCCGTCACTTAAGAAACAAAAAGCCTGTGTTTGGATGGCAGAGTGGGACATGTCAAAAAAATCTGTCTGCTTTACCTTTGTGCAGATGTTGGGCACAGACTGTAACATGTATTATTAAAATGAATGTGGCATTTACTGTGCATTATTTCTTTCCTGGGAGAAAGGACCTGTAAATTATATGCTAATAATAAGCTTTAACCCTTTCAGAAACCAGGAGATTTAGGAGTGCAAATATTCCTGC